CAGAGTGTCCCAGCAACTTTTGTCACTGAGATTAAAGATCACGACTGTTTTAGTCAGCATTTTTGTCACTGTGACACAACAAGAACAAAGAAAAAAATAAAAAGTTTATTTGGGACTCATGGTTTCAGAGGCCTTAGTCCACAGATGGCCAAACCATTGCTCTGAACACAAGGTGAATATGGATATCATGGCAGAAGAGGGGAAGCAGCTCTGAACATGGCGATCAGGAAGCAGAAAGAATTCCTGTCACCAAGAACAAAATATAAACCCCAAAGGCATGGCTTTTCCAGCCACACCCAATCTGCCCACAATTACCACCCAATTAATCCATGTCAATGAATTAATGCAGAGATTAGATTAAGGCTTTCAAAACCCAATAATTTTACCTCAAAACTTTCTTCAGTTGTCTCACAGATGAGCTTTCAGTGAATACCTCATATCTAAATCATAACAACCACAAAACAGGGAAATATGACATCACCTGTGAATTGCCTAACAAAGAATTCAAAATAACAAGACGCATGGCCAGGTATGGTGGCATGTGCCTGCTGTCCTAGCTACTTAAGAGGCAGAAACTAGAGAATTATTGAGCACAGGTGGTAAAAAAAAAAACAGGGCAAAGTAGTGAGACTCATAATTCAAAAGTCAAAAAAAAAAAAATGAACAAGCAAAAAAATCAAGGCAAACCAAATGAAACAAAAACCAGACACATGCACCAATGGAACAATCCAACAATAACTCCATGCATTTACCCAAGTGATTTTTAACAAAAGAGACAAGAAGACCTGGACACAGTGGCACACTCCTGTAATCCCAGTGCTCAGGAGGCTGAGGCAGGAGGATTGTGAGTTCAAAACCAGCCTCAGCAACAACAAGGCACTAAGCAACTCAATGAGACTCTGTCTCTAAATAAAATACAAAATAGGTCTGAGGATGTGGTCAGTGGTTAAGTGTCCCTGAGTTCAATCCCCAGTAACAAAAAGAAAAAAAAAAACCAAGAAGACATACGAGGAAAAGGCAGTCAAAACAATAAATGGTACTAGGAACCTGGATATCCACATGCTGAAGAATAAAATGACCTCTATCTCTTAATAGTTACAAATATCAACTCAAAACAAATTAAAGGCTTTAAATGTAAGATTTGAAACTATGAAAATACTAGTAAAAAACAAAGGACAAATATTTCAGAATTTTGGATTGGGTAAGGGCTTTTTTAGAAATAACTCCAAGTGCATAAGAAAGAAAAGCAAAAATTGATAAATAGAATTCTATCAAACTAAAATTGTTTCTTCATAGAAAATGAAACAATCAGAGAGCAAAAAGAAAAACTACAGAATAAGAAGAAATATTTTAAAACATTATATCTAACAAGAAATTAATATTCAGGATACATACATAAGAAAGTAAAAAAAAAAACTCAACAGCAAAACAAAAATAAAAATCAAATAAAATACACCATAGATCTAAATAGATATGTCTCAAAGGAAGTCCTATAAAATGGTCAACATATATATGAAAAATACTGAGAATTAGTAATCATCAGGGAAAAGCAAGTCAAAACTACAATCAGATACCTCACTTAGAACTGTTATTATCAAAAATACTAAAGATAAAACATGCTGATGAAGATGTGGAAAAAAAGAAATCCTTACACACTGTCTGTGAGAAATTGAATTAATATATCCACTATGGAAAGAATACAAATGCCTCATAAAACTAAAAACTACCACATGATCCAACAGTTCCTATGTGGGTGTGTATTAAAAGAAAAGGAATTCACTAAGTCAAAGAGATAGACATCTTCACTCCCATGTTTATTGCAGCACTTCCATATTATCCAAGAAATGGAAGCAACTGTAGTTTCCATTGAAGTATAAACAAAGAAAATATGGCTCATGTACACAATGAAATACTATTAAGCCATAAACAAGATGAAATTCTGTCATTTGTGACATCATAGATGGGCTTAGAGGACATTCTGTTAAGTGAAATAAGCCAAGCACAGAAAGAAAAAAGAATGCATGATCTTACTCCTACAGGGAATCTAAAAAAAGTTGATCTCCACTCACAGATGTTCTAGCAGAGCAAAGAAAGCAGAAGGGAGACATTTAAAAGAAACAATAAATAAATAAATAAATAAATAAATAAATAAATAAATAAATAAATAAATAAATAAATCTTTAGAACTGAAAGGTTTAAGGCTCTGGATATTAAAGACCTACTGAGTGCCACCTCAATTAATTTTCAAAAATGCCAAGACATGCTATCATGAAATTTTGTTACCCTAGAGACTGAAATTATAAAATCATTAGGAAAGAGAAAATACACTGGCTACAAATAATGAAGCAAAAATCTGAATATTGTAAGAGCAAAACTAAACCTACAATACAATACAAGAGGATCTTCAAATAGATTTTCAGATTAAAAAATCTACATAGGACAAGGCCAGCCATCAGATTCAGGAAAAAAGAATAAACATTTTGAATCATGCAAGATTAATAAAATTTACTTCCTAGATGTTCTTTGAGAGTGTTGAGCACTGTGACACAGCAAAACAAGAGGAAGAGACAGGATCAAGAATTCAATGCAAGCTGCGCACGGTGGCCCATGCTTATAATCCCAGTGACTCAGGAGGCTGGGGCAAGAGGACCGTGAGTTCAAAGCCAGCCTAAGCAATTTGGTAAGCCCTTGTTTCTAAATAAAGTATTAAAAAGGTCTGGGAATATGGCTTAGTGGTTAAGCACCCCAAGGTTCAATCCCCAGTACCAAAAAATAAATAACAAAATGCAGGGAGGAGGCAAAGGCACGCACTCTTCAGGTGACAGCTGTAGTTGGCATAGTGGGCAACAGAAATGGAAAAAAGCAGAAGGATATTTGTTTTGGTGCCGGGGATTGAACCCAAGGCCTCCATGCTCCTCAGCCCATCCTTACGTGTCTTAAAGCCAAGATGACAACTTTCTATTTGTAAATCATATGTCTCTATTGGCAACTAGGGGTGAGTTATAGAAAGACAGCACAGGAGAGTGAACTATTTCTTTCTCTTAATCTCCATTACCACCCCTGTACCTGACCATTCCCCTGACCAGTGTCCAAAACACCTCAGAGATTCCAGGAGGTGAGTTTCTCCTCAGCATTCTTGTTAGTTCTTTAGAACCAGGCTCATCGAGCCTGCCTTGTCTTTGCCTTCTCTCTTCCAAACGTTTCTTGGAACCTTGTCTGCTGTTCTAACCTCTGTCCTGTCTTCTTTATTTTGTTGATCTGAACTTTTCCCCCGACTATTGTCATAGTTGTTGTTTATATTATTATACTTAGCTCTTAGGAGAACACCCAATATAACTGGCCATTTTAATTATAATTTCAGTGTGTTTCTGGTCTATCTTAAAAAATCAGGAGTTATAAGAGCAAAAAAGTGACTTTTGGCACAGGGAAAGAAAAATTAAAAATGAGTATAAGGAAATACAAAGAAACATTAATGGTGATGGTGTGTAGAAGGGCTAAAATATGGAGAAACCACCTCAAAGGGTTTTCAAAAGAGCCCCACAGTTACTATTGGCATCCCCTAGTTCATGCCCAGCTGCCAAAGACAGACAGAACAGAGCAAAATTTCCCCAGAACTACCAGAAATAGTCAGGTCTCAGTTACTAAGAGAAATAAAAGGAACAGTGAATACTGGGACGGCAACTGGGAAACTGGCAAGTGCCTAATGTGAAGCCATCGCTACGCAGTACATTAAGAGTAGAAAGCAATGTGTATTATTTATACCCTTGATCAGTTGTAGAAATGAGGTTAAAACCACTAACAATAAATCAAAAATAAATGTCTAATAATGTTTTATGAGTTTATACAGGGTTTCATAAAGCCTACAGAAAATAAACATTGGACAAAAATAAACATCTCTGAACTCCTGAAAGATACCAGACTAAAAATCTAAAGTAATTCCTCAGAATAAAAATGCCTTTTGAGGATATCCAGCTGTTTTCAAGCTTTACAAATAAAACTTTAGAAACAAAATGAATTTATTCCATTTTGTCCTTTTTGAGTATTGAAAACAGTTTTAATCAAAATTTATAATAGAACCACAAGTTCTTGACTTAGTCCTTTCAACAGTTCAAATACCAGTTCATTTGGTTTTAATTAATCTAGTCTGTGTGTTGGGAAAAAAATAAAAGTAAGATTGCTTTAGTAAAAATATGACTACATTACTGAAGTGGGAAAGTACTCAAATTCTCCAAAAGGGACTTTTTAGAAAATTGCTTTCCATTTCAACATATGTAAAATTCCCTCATTTTTTTTCCTAGACAGAAACCATTCTTTGAGCAGTTCTTCAATTTATACTAACTCCTTCATCATAGGTAGCATATATGTCTACATTTGTTATATATCATATTAAAATTTTTTTTTTATAAATCTGCCTCTCCTACTAGATTTTATGATATTTGTGAGAAAGACGTAAGAAAGCAGAAGGAGGGGAGGGAACAAGAATGCAGCTCCCAGGAAGTTAGACTTTCTCTAAGAGAAAGAATCTGATTTCCTGGGACTCTCATTCCCTTGTACCACCATCTGAAAGTGCCAAATAGTAGTTTACTGCGTGTTTCATGCAGATAAAAGTGATTTGAGGGCTGGGGCTGTAGCTCAGCAGCAGAGTGCTTGCCTAGCATGCGTGAGGCACTGGGTTCGATCCTCAGCACCACATTAAAAAATAAATAAATAAAATAAGGCATTCTGTCCATCTACAACTACAAAAATAAAAATTAAAAAAAAAAGAAAGTGATTTGAAGCAGGGAAAGGAGATTCTGAGGAGTGTCTTCCACTATAGGTAAAAGAGGATAAACCTTGCCTGTGTGGAAAAGTTTAAGTTTAACCCACCATATAGTAGATTCAAACTGTTCTCTGCTGGATGAAAAGTACAAGATAGTTTCAGGAACTAATTAGTAAAATTTTGACAAATTAGTAACCACTGAAGGTACCAGCTAATTCTCTGCTTTTGCAGTTCTGACAGACTATCTCTTCTGCTTCTCCTTCAAAGAGGACTTGTGGCTCCAGAGACGCCTCATGGCATTCTTCACATCTCCATTCCTCAGAGTATAGATAAGTGGGTTTAGCATTGGGGTGATGGTGGTATAAAACACAGACACAGCCTTATCCAGTGGAAAAGTGGTGGATGGGCGGAGATAAATAAAGATACAAGGGACAAAGAAGAAAGTTACTACTGTCAGGTGAGATCCACAGGTAGAGAGAGCTTTGCGACGGCTCTCTGCAGACCGTTTCCGAAGGCTAAATAAAATGACCGTGTAGGAGGTCAGAAGAATAAGGAAACACCCCAGGGAGATGAGACCACTGTTAGCCACCACCAACATATTTACCAGGGTTGTATCAGCACAGGCAAGTTTTAGGACTGGGTGGACATCACAGAAGTAATGATCAATGACCTGAGCATGGCAGAAGGGCAGCTGAAAGGTCAGGAGGGTCTGGACAAAAGAATGACCCAGGGCCCCCAACCAGGACAGTGATGCCAAGAGGGTGCAAACATTGGCGCTCATGATGGTTGTATAGCGAAGGGGGTGGCAGATGGCAGCATAACGGTCAAAAGCCATGACAGTCAAAACAAAAATCTCAGCACATCCAAAAAAGTGGAAGGTAAACATCTGAGTTATACAGCCCCAGTAGGAAATGGTCTTTTTGTCAGAAACAAAGTCTGCAATCATCTTGGGTGCAGTGGCTGAGGAATAGGCAATGTCCACAAAGGACAAATTACTGAGAAAGAAATACATGGGTGTGTGTAGCTGGGGATCAGAAAAGACTGTAAGCAAAATGAGTAAGTTTCCCACCATGATCACGATGTAGAAGAAGAGGAATAGGGCAAAGAGTATCAATTGCACCCCAGGGTCTTGGGAAAGTCCCAGGAATATAAACTCAGTGACATTGTTGGCGACTTCCATGGGTCCCCAGGCAGGATGGACTGCGAGTGGCTCTGTTTAACTGCAAAAATGAACACAAGTTATAATCATTGTATGCATGGGCAAACATAACAGGAACAATTGCATGAAAATATCTAAGTGATGCTACGTATGGTGGAGACAATGCTTTATATTTCCTAAACATAATTTATGTACGTTTTTCTCATCGATTTTATTGACTCACATTAAACAATTTGTTCCACTTGGTTTTTCATTTTCTGGTTCTTTTCTATGAAACAAGAACACACCTAGGACTAGCTCTAGCTCATTGGTTCCTTCAACAGAGAATATCCAAGAACACACCTCTCTCTCCCTTTTCTCTTCCTCTACTTCCCTTCTCATCTCCTTTGTCACCTCCACTTCTTCCTTCTCCTAAGGAATTCTCTTTGGAATGAAAAATCTAAAATTATTTATTAAGTGGATAAATTAAGTTTTGAGACCTTAGATAAAAACAAGAAGTCAAAATCTAAGATTGTGTGTCTTAAATTCTTGACAAATCTTTTTAATACAATATATAGGCAAAGCACCTTTAGAAAACTGATATTCTATTTAACCAAGAGAGGATGACTCCATTTCCAGATTTTAAATTGGATTAAAAGGTTCAATGCAATTAAAATTTAAGTTACTTTCAGTGTTTGAGAGCAACACAGACAGTGGCCTCCTCCTTACATACAACTCTTGCTTGTAAGTCAAAATTGGGGGAATTTGAGTCCTTACCTTTGACCTGCATGTGAAAATTTTTTTTTACTTGCCAATAGGGGACACACGAGGAGTGGTTAAATTATATGGAGAAATACTTTGTTCTATGCTGCTCTAAATAATGGAAAAGTTTAAAATTTGAGGTCCATATCATTCTCAATCTCTATGGCTTGAAAAAAGACTCAAATAAATGTCCTTGTAATCATAGATAAGAGTTAGGAATAAAAGTTTCATAGAGATAATGTTTAAATGGTGGTTAAAAATTAATGTCCAATGCCATTTTATATAGTATATATGAAGGCTGAAGGCATACAAATAAAAGTTGTAAATAAGAATAATCAGAAAAGAATTATTAAAAGAGACAGTTCATAAGACAAGATCTAAAGAAGGTCTTCAGAATAAGAATTGCTTTTTATGACATATTGCAAATTACTACTATTCTCCATCATTCCTAAGAACTTAAATTTTCAGCATGGAAAGTGGAGAGAACATTGTCCAGGAGCTGGAGGGTATAAGTTTGGATATGTCCACCAAATGGATTACTTTGGGTAAAAAAAAATCTGTCTTCTGTGAATCTGTTTTCTCATCTATAAAAGATGGACGATGAAATTATTGTTTCAGAATTAAATGAGATTGTCAGGGTAACTTCTTTGTATTTATTGTTTTTCTTCATAATTTGAATCTATAAAGTAGGATCTCTATAAGTAGAATCTATTCAGTTGTTATTAAAAAGTTAGATAACTACTAGAAATTATTAAAATTTTTATAAAACTTTATTCCCAAGATAATAAACTATAATATCTTCCTGTCTTTAATGTGGGGATACTATGAGTACTGGTACTGATCAACGTTTACTGAACACTCTTCTATATGCAGAATTTTGTACTAAACTCCTGACATATGTCACCTTATCTTCATAACAACATCACAATTTTATTATCTGCATTTTACACAATAAAATACCAAAGGCTAAAGAAACTTTGTAAATTGTCCAACATAATGGTCAGAGATACACATAATACACATCTCTTTAATAAATGATAGAAATATTATATGTATAGATAGATAGATAAATGCACTAATTTAAAAAAAACTGAATTTTAAAAATCAATTGCTCTCTTATGGTACAAAGTCCTTCCACTGTAGAATATGCTTCATATCTCTAAATTCTTTGAATATTTTGTACACCATACCAGCAAAGCTCCATTTTTCTCAGTCATCACCAATAGGAAAATCATAAAGATTAAAAAAGAAAGTTTAGGTCAATAGAAAACACTTAAGTTCTGCTAACTATATGCCAGGTATTACTTTAACCACTTTCATTATACTAATTCATTTAATTCCCATAATAATTGTATGTAAAAGAGTACATCAATATTTTCAGACTATCAGTATTACCCCTCTCAAAGATAAGGAAACTGAAGCACAAAGAGAGTAAGAAACTTGCCCAAATTCATAGTGCAAGTGGTTGGCAGAGTTGGTATTTAAACATATACAATGAAACTTTTAAATTTATTTTCTTAACAACTTCTTTTGTGTTAGCTCTGATGGCATCCACACCACCAAATATCTCATTTGAAATTCTTAAACCTGGGGCTGGGGTTGTAGCTCAGTGGTAGAATGCTAGCTTAGCACGTGTGAGGCACTGGGTTCAATCCTCAGCACCACATAAAAATAAATGAATAAAATAAAGGCATTGTGTCCATCTACAACTAAAAATATTTTAGAAAAAGAAATTCTTAAACCTTTTACAATACTCAAAATAATATTGTTCTGCCAGTTGTGAAGAGTTTGTTTTTTTTAACTAAATAAGACACTCTTTAGAGACAAGAATACAGTTGTAAATGGCAATATCATTGTAGCATGCAGGGTTTGTCCCCATATTTTCTCAAACTAAACTTACAGGGGAGATCAACAGCAAGTGATGGGATGCTCCTTGTTAATCCAGACTATTTCTTTGACATGTGTCCACAATCAAATGGAGGAGGTCTACACGTATACTATCTTGGTTCTCAGTGATAAGGGGTAAGGAAGCCCAGGAGAGTTGAGGTCTTTCCAGAAGAGGTCATGCTGAGTGGAATAAAAAATGAGTTAGAGTTGACTTGATGATAAAGTGGGTATGGAGCAATCTGAGAAGGTGGACAGAAAAGAGTGGACAAGGCAGGAGAGACATTCCAGGCCTCATGAACAGTGTATGTGAAGTGTAAATCATGACAACTTCTATGGAGGATGCTAACAAGTTTGCTCTGACTCACCACAGAATCCACACAAGGAAGTATCTGGAGATGAGACTAAGAAGAAAACCTGACCAGATCATAAAGGTTTTCATGAGTTAAATAGAGGAGGAGTTTGAAATTTGTCCTGAATAATCCAGGATACCATAAATTATACCATAGCAGCAGGGCAACTGGAATGGGAAGTGGCGGAGAAAAGTTAAAAAGAGGACACCTTCAAAATGGGGTCTACTGTAAATATAACTAAAAAGAACCAACTCAAAAAGAGAAAATCTGTGAGAAAGTGAAAATAAGGATTCCTGGGACTCAGTTTGCTGAGGTTCAAATTCCAGTTCTATCTCTTGTTAATGGTATAGATTTAGGCAAGTTATTTAACTTCCTTTGCCTCAGTTTTCCTCAGGAGTGAAATGAGGGCTGGGGATGTAGCTCAGTGGTAAAACATTTGCCCACCATGTGCAAGACCCTGGGTTCAATCCCCAGCACACACACACACATAAAGGGGAAATTGTGGCTAAGAATAGTATATATCACTCAAAGTGTTGTAGGAAGTAAATATATATTACAAATAAAGCACTAATATACATGATATGCTTTAAATGAATATGTTGTCCTATTACACATCTTAGCTATTGGAGAACATGGAGACTGAGTGGAAAAACGCAGGCCTGGATAGGAGTGCTCTTAGTACACTAACCTTCTTACCATGTTCATCTCCTAATTCTAGTCAGCACATATATTCGTTAGAGTGAAACATTAGGAAATATAAATCATATTCTTGCATTGCTTTCTTTAAGAGTTCAAGCAAAGATATCCAAAGATGATTTGCAGGCCCTTTGATCTTTCTGAATGGTAGAAACTCAGCTTTATTTAGGAACACCCTCATCAGGTCATAAATTAATCAAAGTTCAGAGATCAAAGTATTTCTACTATCCTCATTGTGAGAAAGAGCACAGGATTTAAAAAGAGAACAACTGGGGCTAGACTCACTGTCCATCTCTTTCAGGATTTGTAACTGTAACACAATTTTCCTACCTTCTGTTCACTTCAGAGTCCTCTTCGGTGAGATAATGCCACACACGGTGAGCGCAAATTAGATGACAGACATAAAAGTGACCTGCAGATCTAATCACTAGCATTTTAGTGGTGGCATTTCAGAATCAACAGTAGCAGATATCTGAACTCTGCACCACCATCTCTAGGGCACTGATCAGTTCCACTGTCCTGCCTAGGTGCTTAGGACAAATTTGGTCTCTTTAGGAAAAAGTCAGAGAATGTACGCTAGTTTTAATGGGATCTGTGCAGTTAAAGAAACAAGGTTGTTCCTTAAACTCCATGAGCTTGTCTAAATTGTTTAAAATAGAATAATTAGTAAAAAAAAAAAAAAAAGGAAGAAAGAAAATGTAGCTTCTGAAATCCTCTGGGAAAAAGATTTTGTCTTAGATGCTCCAATGGATGAGTTAGAAAGGGCAGAGAGCAAAAATTCTGGATCTCCATCCTAACAGCAAGCTCCACCCCATGGAAAACTCATTGAGCAATAGTGTCCTTGACTTGAACATCCCTCACTAGACATTACCACACATGTGCCTGTTTTTATTTGGGCATTCAACATTAATTTATTATCTATCCATCCTAACTTGTTCCTCGCCTTGGCCATAATTGAGAAAACAGTGTATTAATAGTTTATGGAACTAAAAGGTACAGAATAATAACTTGAGCAAGTAAAGTTTTGAAAATAAATCTGCAAATGAGTTAATGGAACACAATATAGAAGCTGTGTAAGGTATTATCTCACTGATATTCTATGTTTTATACAGTATCAATATTAATTTATCCTTTCATCTAACAAATATTTATTAAGCACATTCTCTATTGCCTGGTATTGGGATGTGAACATAAAGGATAAATAAAACCCAATGCCTGATATAAACCCATTAATTTTAGGGTAATACCTTTAAATAACTTCCCCAAATCCTCTGACTGGGACATAGTTTATGTAAGTCACATACTTATATAGATAAAAAAAATCTTAGAAATCACTTGATTTTTATTCCACTCAAT